AATTATTTCCTAAAGAGAAATTTGTATTGGTTTCTTTCACTCACAAGTCTCAGAAGGCTATTACTCTATGTTTGACATTTTTTTTTAAGGTTATATATTTTGAGAGAGAGAGAGAGAGAGAGAGAGAAAACCAAGCAGGCTCTACACTGTTAGCACAGAGTGCAGAGCTGACACAGCGCTCAAACTCACGAACCATGAGATCATGACCTGAGCTGAAATCAAGAGTCAGACGCTTAACCAACTGAGCTACCCAGGCATCCCTGTTTGACATTTCTTGTCCGTCATCTCAGAGTTCGGCTATGAGAGCATGGTATTATTTTCTACCTAGGTCAAGTTCAAATTTAAGACAGATGTTTCCTCAAGTGGTTCTGTTTTATTAATAGGTGGAATTGTGTCTGTGCAATGTGCCAGGCCTCAGAGGCAGTGATTTCAAGGATAATCATTTGGGCTTTTCAGAGAAAAGCTCTGGATCTGATTTGAGAAGCTACACAAGTCACCCTTTTTCCAAGCGAGGATATAGTAAGCAGGTTCAGGGAGGTACTTCAGCAGACACTTGATTTCACAGAAGAGAGAGCTAAGTGATGTAATGGATAAAGAAAATCATGTGTGCCATGTGGTGGCACTAACCAAAAGCAAAGTCTAATGTTTTAATAAAGATGATGTCCCCTTTACCCAATGTACAGATTTTCCTCAACTTACAATGAGGTTAAATTATGGTAAACTCTTAAGTAGAAAATATTAAGTCAAAAACACATTTAATACACCTTATTGAACATCACAGTTTAGCCTACCCTACTGTAAGCAGGCTTAGAGCATTTACATTAGCTTATGGTTGGCCAAAATAATCTAACACAAAGCCTTTTTTATAAAAAATTATAATAAATTATCCCATGTAACTTATTGTATATTGTACTGAAAGTGAAAAACAGAATGGGTGTGGGCCGCCAGGGTCACTCAGTCGGTTGAGCATGACTTAGTTCAGGTCATGCTCTCACAGTTTCTGAGTTCAAGCCCAACATCAGGCTTGCTGCTGTCAGTGCAGAGTTCACTTCAGATCTTCGGTCCCCCTCTCCCTCTTCTCCTCCCCTGCTCACCCTCTCTCTCAAAAATAAACATTAAAAAAAAAAAAAACCAGCACAGTTGTAGGAGTAAGGATGATAGTAAGTGTATGGGTTGTTTACTCTTGTCATCATGTGGCTGACTGGGAGCTGCAGCTCGCTGCCACTGTCCAGCATCATGAGAGTATCGCACGGCATATTGCTAGCCCCAGGAAAGATCAAAATTGAAAATTCAAAGAATGATTTCTACCAAATGCATATGCATTCCATACCATCATAAAATCAAAAAATCTGAAGTTGAACAATCAAATTGGGGACCATCTGTACTCCATGGGGCTTTCAGTAGTAGAGTTTTGCTACTTTTAGAGGTAGGTGTGGGAGTCTGCTGAAGCGAGAGAAAATGAAAATGTCTAAGGTTGGATGGTCATATGGAAAAAGAGAAAATTCCATTCTTTATTCTACACTGGATAAATTGCAAATGGATCAGAGACATATTTAAAAAAAAAAAAAAAAGAAAAACCACCCAGTACTAGAAAAATTAAATGAGTGAAATCCTTTATAACCTGGGAGTGGGGATAACATTTCTGATGACTCAGATTCCAAGCATTAAGGGATGACTCAGAATCTAGAGCATTAAGGGAAGAGACCGATTATAATTTAAACAAATAAAAACACAAAGCAAAAAGCCCAATAAAAGTCGTTAAAAGAGTTCAACCTGTTTTATATTGGGCTAATATGTAAAAAGTTTCCAAATTTTTTTTAAAAGGTTATCTGATAGGAAATAGGCCTTGCTCTCCCTCTATTGGTTACCATTTTTATTAGAGTTTGGTTTACCTTTCCATTGTTTATTTTTGAAAATATAAGCAAGTGTCTATTTGTGTATGTATTTCTGACCTCCCTCCACCTTACACAAAAAGGAGCATACTGTACACATTCTTTTGGGCCTTGCTTGTTTCCCTTCATTTCATAGCTGTAGATGTCCAACATTCCTTAAAACTCATCATACTTCACTGTATGTACACATCATCTGAAAAGATGCTCCACCTTACTCATAAAAAGATAAATGCAAAACTGTAATGAGACACCATTTGCCACCTATCAAATTAGCCAAAATCGACTCCATTAGAGAGGCCATGGGGAAACAGGAACTCTCATACTTCACAAATGTGAATACAAAATTGTATAACGCCTATGATGGTGAATTTGACAATATTAAACAAAATAACATGTTCTTTTACCCTCTAACCTAGCAATCCCATTTGTAGGACTCTGTGCTAACGGTCGATTAGCAAAAGCATATTGTGTATGCACAGGGAACTTTTTGTAATAGCAAAAGGCTGGAAATAGTGCATATATCTATCCATAGGGGCCTGGTTGAATAAACCATGGTACATCCATATATAACCAAAGAGAATTATGTCCAGTTGATTTAAAAGAGTATTTTTGAAGAAAAAAGAAACAAGCTTCATTCAGCAGTCTTATTTAGCAATATTGTTATTATTGTTTTACATATATGTATGTGTGTATATATGTGTACATGGACAAGGCAAATAAGTAATTATGTTAGTATCATTAAGAACCAGTAACTTTCATCTTAAACGAGACAAAAGAAACAAAATCAAAGAGCTCAGTTTGGGAAAAAAAGGATTATGACATAGAAAAGGTGCTTAATGTTCAACAGCAGTGTCAGGTTTTTAAGAAAAGGAAAGCTGAGACATCCAAAATCCAAAACAATGTCAAGTTTGAGGGAGGGAGGAGGTTAAAGACAACATAAGTCATTTCTGAAGCAAGAAGAAAAGAGTAGGAATAGGTTCGGTTTAGTCTCTGATGCACCGGATCCTGTTAAAATCAATGGTTCCTCTTCAGTGCCTTTGTCTCTTGATCGCTGTTCCACTCCACCATCCCACCTTTTTGCCAATTTCTGATTCTTCACATCAGTTAACCATCGGTATGTTGCTCCTCCCCGCATCAAGGATCTTTTATTATACCCTATCATAGAATAGTATTCCCTTCCTTACTACACTTCTCTCAGTGGATAATTATGTCCTCATTAATATCATTACTTAATATTCTCCTCCCCAACGCCCCCAAGTGTCTGTTTTTGCTCTTTATCCTATACCATATTGCATAGTAGGCGCTCAATAAACAGTTGGTACAATGCTTCACTTCCATTTTATTCCCATTTCTTCAGAGAATCTTCTTCAGGCTGGGAAAGGTGGAACGCCTAAGGACTGAACTCCGAAGGGGGCAAAATGATTCTAGCACAATTTTCTCTACTTCATTCATTCATTCGGGAAATGCGCACTGCTAGGCGACAGGGATACAACAACGGATAAAATAGATACAGCTCTGTCTCTGTTCTTCCCAAGTTTACGTGCGGGTGAGGAGAGGTGATCTAGTTAAATACGCAACATTGACCGTATTTAACTTGAGTCCATGTGTCCTCCCCTAAATGAATTACATCCCAGAAAAAAGAGAACATCCTGATGGGACCGCTGACGTTTGAGAATGGATCAGCAGCCCAGGGACAAGAGTAGGGGGTGTGCAGTACTGTCCGTCAACAGGATAGCGTGTGGGACTGGAGTGGGCCTCCTAATTGCATATTCCAACGAATGCCGCTTCTGCAGCTGTCGCCTCCCGAAGACTTCGCTCGCCCCGCGCACTCAACTCTCCCATGACAGGTCTTCTTTGTGTATTTAACTACCTATGCGCTAAGATTTGAGCCATCAGTTCCTCAAATACGGGCCAGTTTCCAGAGCCGAAGTAACCTCTAAAGGCCCTGCTTCAGGGGTACCCAGATCAGCGTTTGTACACCCTAACTCAGGCTGCCTCACTTCGGGTCCCGTAGAATCGGTTTCTCCGTTATAGGGCCTTCAGCCTCTGCCAAGTTCTGAAAAAAAATGAGAATGGGGTGTCTATTACATTTCCCCGAATGTATCGTCTCAGTCGCAGGCCAGATATATTAAAATGAGCTTGAAACAGTACTTTCCTCCAAAAATACGGCTATGGAGGAGCAAGTGGAACTCACCTTTTTTTCCCCTCTCTCTTTTCATATTTCTTAGTTGTGCCCACCACGCCCTTCCGCGTCTCACTAGACAGGCAGCTCCTGGCCACTCTCTGAGGTCCTGATTTTGAAATGAGAAACGGGCCAATCAGAGCGCGGAGCGCTGTTTGGCGCTGCCATTTGAGCCTGGGCTGGAAGTGAAGGTGGAAAGATTGCGGCTCCGGAGCTGCAGAGGCGGTGAGGGCGGAGGCATGAGGAGAGTTGCGTGGCTTCAGTGAGCAGACCGGGATGTGCCTGCCGGGGGCTGTAGGCAGGCTGATGGGGGAGGGAAAGAGCAGCCTGTGAAACGGGGTGACGGCGGCGACCAGCCCGGGCGGGGACCGGGACTGGAAGAGGCGCCTGAGCAGCCGGCTGGTCCGGCGGCTGGGCTGGGGTTGGGGACGGGGACTTGAGAGACGAACGTCCAGCTGAGCTTGCCAGTGCAGGAAGGCCGAGGAGAAGGGTCGTGTTTTGCCGTTGGGAAAGAGACGAGGGCGAAGGAAGGATTGGAGGAAGCTGGATCTTAGGAAGTGGCCGGAAGTGCTGAGAAGCTGGTAACAGGCGTCGGTACAAGGAACCGAAAGGATCAGGAAGAAAGAAGGGAGGTCTGTGTAAGTAGCCGAAAAGATCGAGTGACAAGAAAGAGGGCCGGTGTAAGTGAAGGAAAAGTGAGGTGTGGCTATATCAGAGGGAAGTAGAAGACGGTCAGTGCAAGTGGGTTGAGGACCGAGGGAAAAGCCGTGGAAGTGGCTGGGGTCCGGGGCCGGGACAGTGCCAGACTTGGCCGGAAGGCAGCGGAGCGGAGCGCAAACCTGAGAGTGTTTGGAAATTGGAAGACTTGGTGGCGAACGAGGGTCAGAACTGAGATCTTGCCTCGGAGAGTGAGCGACGTGTCCGGGATGTGGGATCGGAGGCTGGTGAGGTTGGCCTTGTTGCAGCAGCTTCGGGCCGTCTATGGCATTAAGGTCAAGAGTGGCCGTGGGCAGTGCGATCGTAGGAGACATGAAACAGCGGCCACGGATACAGCGGTAGGTTCTGGGGAAAGAGGTTTGGGTTAAAAAAAAAAAAAAACAAAACCCCACCCTATCCATCACTTATTACAGGTCATGCTAAGATGTTCATTCTGTATGGATCCAAAGGATCCAAAAGAGAACGTGGCTAAGTGTGACTGATTGAATCCAGATGGTCAACTGCTGAAATTTAAAGAATGACATTGTTGATTCTTTACAGGGATTTTTAATCATTGAGAAAGTTGCAAGGTTTTTCAACCTCGCAACATTGACACTTGGAACTAGATAATTCATTCTTTGGGGTGGGAGGTGGGGGCTGTCCTGTGCATTATGGGATGTGTAGCAGCGTCTCTGGCCTTTACCCACTAGATACCAGTAGCATCTCCCAGTTTTGACATTTAAAAATGTCTCCAGATGTTGCCAATTTATTGTATTTTCCCAAGTAGATCTTAGGAAGGGAGACAAACAGTACCCACCCCACCCCGCGCCACCGTTTTAGAATTAAGATTTGGAAAGGGTCAAGGGGGATCAGTAAGTTTTCTAAATAAGTCAGTAGAGGAGGTGTGACAGAACATTAGAAATAGACTTCAGATAATCTCTCTATATTTACTAATTTGAAAAAAAAATAAACTTGCTGCTTTTTTTTTTGAGATACAAAGCTATTTTAAGTATTTAGAGATGAAAGCTAATAAGATTTGCACAGCTCTTAGTTTATAATTTCTGAAAAAAAAATAAGTACTTGGATAAGAAAGCTAGTAATAAAAATAATTTGTATACCTCTTAATAGCTTATAGATTCTGGAGACAGTAATTTTTGTTGTTTGCAGCTGGTGGCAACATATTTGTTTATATGTAAAAACTGGAGTGGTTTTTCTGGTTGTAAAACTGGTTTTCCAAGGTCTCAAATGTAGTTGGTTTTGAAAGTGTACGAAAGACTTTGTGTCAGAGTTTTTTCACCCCTTAAGAAAATCAGTACCTACTTTTAGAGTCAGGTAGACCTGAGTTTGTTTGAATCCTGCTCTACCCCTACTAGATATGTGATCTTAGGCTGTTTGTTGAATTTTCCCAAGCTTCAGTTTCCTACTCTATAAAATGGGAATAATGATGTCTCTCCTTGGGTCATTTAGGGGATTTAAAAATGGTAAGATCTGTAGATTGGACTAGCACAGTGCCTGTCACATGCCACATATTCAGTTAATGATGGTTGTTACGGCAGTCATTGGTCTAGATCCTAATGGGTAGTCAGGCTAGAAATTGTAATAAAAATATTCTAATAAATATTAAGGTCAAGAGTGGCCATGGGCAGTGCCACCGTAGGAAACATGAAGCAGCAGCCACAGATATAGCGATAAGTTCTGGGGAAAGAAATACAGAAGATCGTTGTGTTATAGGAATGGAAACAGGATAAGTAATATTTGAAAACTAGATTTCTTGTAGTTTTCTAAGTACATTCTATTAACTTACTTAGAAAACTTACTGATCCCCCTTGACCCTTTCCGAATCTTAATTCTAAAACGGTGGGGTGGGGGATGGGGTGGGTACTAAGTACATTGTAAATGATACTCCAATACACAAAGTTTAAAAAGCATCTTGTTAGTTTTATTTTATGAGCTTATAGCAATTACTGTGAGTCCATTATTGAGAATAATAGACTTGAGGAAAAAACCGTGAATTCTGTGTATGTTAAGATATCTCTAGACTTATAATCAGCTTCAGCATCTGATTTTTGCATTTTGTTTGGTTGTCCAGTATCAAGACAATTCTGATTTACCCAAATAAGGGGTTTCCCACACTAACATTTTTTTTTAATAGCTCACCTTGAAATGGGAATTCTAACAGCAACACATATTCTGTGAATGCTTACTCAATGTCAGACACGACCATAAATGTTTTACATCTTTTAATTCATTTAATTCTCTCTGTAACTCTGTGACGGAGGACCTGTGTGAAGGTGCCGAAGCATACAAAATTAATTTGATCAAGATCATTCAGCTAATAAGCAGAAGAGCCAACCTTTGAAACCTGGCAGTCCTGCCACTAGGAGCCTGCTCCCTTAAGCACTATCCTGTACTGCCTTCTGTATTCACCAGTTGAATGGAGCCAGATGCTTGAAAAGGACTGGCAAGATTTTGTTACTCTGTTGAAAAGCTGACAGAGCTGAATGATATTTGTCAACGTAAGGTTAAATAAGGTGCTCTTATCACATAAGTGCCTCGAGAGCATTCTTGGAGAGCAGATGCATCTAAGCTAAATGAATGTTTATGAGACTGGGTATACCCACTTATCCAATTCTGTATAGGCAGATATATACATGCGTGTATTTGTTTTTAAATCCAGGGCAAAACTGCAACCTTCTTAATCAGTAACACGTTTTTAAGAAGTTTGAATGTATCCACAAAGATAGTGGCAGATTCTTTATTCACAAGTATGTAACATACAGATTTAGTCTTGGATCTTCAGTGTATTAAGTTTGAATATGAGTAATACATTTGAATGTGACTTTTCACAAATATTTTTCAAAGTAGTTAGATGTGAATTAAATGTTTGCAGAAGAATCCTTTTCTTGGTTACTTCAGAACATAGTTTGAATAGCACTTTTCCACAAAGTGTGGAAAAGATCAGGTCTAAAAATAACCATTTCTGATGTAATTTTAGGAAGTACTCAATGAGTGACAAGAATTACCATTATCAATTTAACCTTTTGTTCATCTTATTATTTATAAGGTGACAGAAGGAAAGTATAAGGTCAGTGTTTATAAGGTTACTGAAAGAACCTGTAGTATTTTTAGAAAATGTTAGTGTTTCAGCCAAATTTTGTTTTGAGCATTAACTGGATTGATTTTACATTATGGGATTGGAAACTGATGAAATGCATTACATTGCTTCAGTGCAATGACTTTCTGTATTTTTTTTTTTAATTTTAATTCCAATACAGTTAACATGCAGTGTTACATTAGTTTCAGGTATACAGTGTAGTGATTGAACAATTCTATACATTATTCAGTGCTTATCATGATAAGTGTGCTCTTAATCCCCTTCACCTGTCTCACCCATCCCCTCACCCACAATGACTTTATCTTGACTATTTTTGTACTCCTAGCACCTAGCAATGTTTAGTGTATAGTAGTTACCTTTTACCAAATGTCCTCATAGTAATTGTTTTCATTGTCTTGATTGATGATGATTTCAATTTTTAAAGATTTTCTGAGGTTTTTAATTTGCTTAATATTTAAGAAAACTCATGTTATGCCTAATATTTGTGTTAGAATAACTGAATTTGCCGTTTTAGGGTAAAATATTTGGAGTACCTTTTAATGTATTGCCCCATTCTGTCGTACCAGAATATGGACATATTCCAAGGTAAGCTAAGTTTGAGATGAAGAAAAAATATTTCAAACTAGTGTTTGAGCGTTTAAAAAGAAATAGTTGATTGACTCTTACACATTTGTTTTGAACTAGCAAATGATTGAATTTCTCAATATTAACTAATGTAATGTCGAAATGTTTTTAAACTTTTACATATTTTAACTTTTTAATTTCTGTTCATTCCTAGGATTGAATTTAAGGTTCAGTAATAAATTAAATGTTTAAAAAGCAAGTTATTTTTGTTCTACTAAGAGTGTTTAGTTCTATACCAATTCTTGTGCTGCAGTTCTGACCATATTCAGTAATACACTGAATTTCAAATTCAGTTACAATTTATATATTTTTTTGTCTTAGAAATGTTGGATGAGAGTATTTTTTTTTCTCCTATACAAGTTTTTAAATTTTGTTAGGTTTTCAAAATTGTGATTCCATTATAGTTAACATACAATATTATATTAGTTTCAGGTGAACAATATAGTGATTCAACAATTCTATACATTACTCAGTGCTCATAATGATAGTGTACTCTTTAATCCCTGTTTCACCCATCCCCCTACCTACCTCTCCTCTAATAACCATCAGCTTGTTCTCTAGTTAAGAGCCTGTTTCTTGGTTTGTCTGTCTCTCTCTCTCTCTCTTTTTCTTTTGTGGATAAAAGAATATTTAAATTTTTTTTTTTTTCAACGTTTATTTATTTTTGGGACAGAGAGAGACAGAGCATGAACGGGGGAGGGGCAGAGAGAGAGGGAGACACAGAATCGGAAACAGGCTCCAGGCTCCGAGCCATCAGCCCAGAGCCTGACGCGGGGCTCGAACTCTCGGACCGCGAGATCGTGACCTGGCTGAAGTCAGACGCTTAACCGACTGCGCCACCCAGGCGCCCCTAAAAGAATATTTAAGATAACATTCAATAGTATCTGTGAATACAGATTATGTAACACTTGAGCTTTTCTATGTCACTTACTATTTATTTAAAAGTAACATTTTAGACTAACAGCATCAGAAATTACTTGGGAAGTTTACATCTTAAATAGTTTAAAGACACATGTAAGGAAACTATCTTAGGTCTTACTAATTCATTTCCCCTCTATCCAAAGTAGGGTTTATTCTGGCTACTCTTGTTCAGTAACCTAGGTTTTTAACTGATGCATTGTACAAAAGCATTTATTGAATACTTTGCTGCTTTGGAACAGTTTTCCCTCATTCAACATATAAGTGTAGATTAACAATCTACACTTGACAATCTTTGTAAGGTGAGCACTTACTATTTTGCTTTTTAAATGACCTATGAAAGGTGTGCTTATGATTTTCTACCTTTAGAATTGCAAAATATATCCCCAGTAACGATGACTAAATCTTTTTTTGTAATTTCTATGCCCGCTTTAAACAAACAAACTTTAAATTCTGTCAGGCGCCCCCTGGGACACTCAGCCATTGTGCACCAGTACAATGCTATCAGTTGCTTGCTGCTAACATCTATTCTTACTTGTTGGTATCACCTGTTAACTATTAAAGCCAACATCGATGGTTCAAATTTGTTCAGTATAAAGAAATTGAGCACACACTTCTAAGTATGAGAAGGATTGTAAGGACTAGGATATATTTGACTTTTTTTCTGAGAGGTAATGTTAGAGTGAGAAAAACATGTTGCCTTTTTTTGGGCCAGTGTAGTAGATGGTAAATATTTAAAGCTATGTATTCTCTGCAAGAATACATGAAGAGAGGATAAAGAAAAGAAGAAGGCCTTAGGGCCCTGGGTTATACTAGCATGAAGAGGTCTGGCAGAAAATGAGGAGCCAGGAAAGGAGTTTGAGAAGGAGCACTTAGGGGGACAGTAGGAAAACCCGAAGTTATCATGAAAAAGAATATTTTCCAGAAAAGAGTGGTCAAGTGTGTGAGATGCTGGCAGGACAAACCAGATGAAGACAATTGACCATGGGTTGGTGACCTTGTTGAGAGCTGTTTTGTTGGAGTAATGGGGGTGAGAGTTCATTGGAGAGGGTTGAGAGAGACTGGGATATGAAGTGGGGGCAGTGAAAAAGACACACCCTGTGCTGTGAGCAGAAGCAGAGAAATGGAGTAGGTTTGAGAAGGATGTAGAATTAAGCAGCTTATTGAAGTTGTCCTGGATAAAAAGATGGACCATAAACCACTTAGGAAGCAAAAACGACAACTAGAGGTAACCTTTTTATTGCAAAGATTGAAGGGATTTCTGACACCAAAGCTTCTAAAGACAGTGCTTAGTCTGCTCATGTACTTTGGTAGGAGAATAGGATTTAGTTAGATGTGTATCTGGCCACCTGAAAACAGTTCTTTCTTTCAGTTTTCTTGTTGATGCTTGCACATCTTTAGAAGAGCATATTCACACAGAAGGGCTTTTTAGGAAATCAGGATCTGTTGTTCGTCTGAGAGCCCTCAAGGTAAGCATATTATTGAACTATTATTTTTCATTTGTGCCACTTTTTGGTTTTTAGAATTTAAATATTTAGAACTATTGCATGAATTACTAATAGAAATTGAATTTGCAAATAGCCTTTTTCATGGCAGAAGAACCTTTTTTTCTAAAAGGAATTGTGCAGCATTTATATAATGCTGTAAGTGTTATTGAGATATAATTGACAAATATTTAACGTATACAACTTAATGCTATATGTATATACTGTGAAATGATTGCCACAATCTATTTATATAATGGTTTAAAAGTTCAGAGTATGTTCAAATTCATGGTCCTTTATTGCTATAAACTATATGAAAGGAAATGTTTTTTTTTTTTAATTTTAGCCTTCTAAAATGGCATGTTGTATAGTAAAACAAGTGTTAAGAGAAATTTATTTTTTTTAATATACATATTTAATGTTTATTTTTTTGGGGGGGTGGAGACAGAGGATCCAAAGCAGGCTCTGTGTGACAGCAGAGAGCCCAATGTGGGGCTCGAACCCACAAACCATGAAGTCACGACTTTAGGTGAAGTCGAACGTTTAACCGACTGAGCCACCCAGGTGCCCCAAGAGAAATTTATTAAAGAAAACTCTCTAGAGTATAAGAAGGGATATTTTTATTTGCAGTAAACTCTTAAGCCCTCAAATACTCAAGATTATTTTATTTATTTCAGAATAAACTGGATCATGGTGAAAGTTGCCTGGCTTCTGCACCACCTTGTGATGTTGCAGGACTTCTTAAGCAGTTTTTCAGGGAATTGCCGGAGCCCATTCTTCCAGTTGATCTGCATGAAGCACTTTTCAAAGCTCAACAGTTAGGAACAGAGGAGAAGAATAAAGCTACATTACTGCTCTCCTGTCTCATGACTGACCACACAACCGATGTATTAAGATACTTCTTTAACTTTCTCAAGAGTGTTTCCCTTAGGTAAGTAATAAGTCTTAGGAAATGACAGTTTGTTAATCAGCTTGATTTACCCTTATAGATAATAAGTTAAAATTACATTTGGAATGGAAATTTTTCTTAAAAAATTATTCCTTACTATAAGAAGTATATCCTGTATAATATAAGAATCAATATACCGAACGATTTAGTATTTTCTCGCTGACTTAACATCATCATTATGAATGGCTTATTGGTGTCAGTAGGATTCTTTGTCCACTGAATGGCTTCAGATGACTGTGTTTTAAAAAAATTTTTTTTCTTTTCTTCTCAAATTTGTCCCCCCTCTCAGCTGTCAGTGAGCCTCCTTGTTCTGGACATGCTTGTAGCCTTCTAATACAGTGTTTCTGTGTGTGGGTTTGAAAACCAAATATACATGTTCAATTTGCATGGAAACCCAAAGTGTGGACTCCATGGTTAGCATGGTTTTTATGATATATATTTAAGCACACAGGAGCTGTTTTTGGTTATGTCTTATTTCAAGCCAGTCATTAGATGGGTAGACAAAGGGTAACTATTTTGACTTGTGTTTGACTGATAAAGTAAAAAGTCTTCAAAGTGTGCCCGATATATGATTTTAACTCCCTGTTTGTCTCTGGGTCAATCTAAGAAGAACCTTGTTTCATTTAAGGTCTAGTGAGAATAAGATGGATAGCAGCAATCTCGCAGTAATATTTGCACCAAACCTTCTTCAGACAAGTGAAGGACATGAGAAGATGTCTGCTAACACAGAAAAAAAGCTCCGAATACAGGCTGCAGTGGTACAGACCCTTATTGACCATGCATCAGATATTGGTAAGATGTAGTTGCTTTATTAAGTAACAGGAGTTGTTTGAGGGAGATCCCATATTCCTCCAAGTGAACTGTGAAGACAGCTGTTAGAAAGTTGATGTATACTATCTGAACATTTTGAGTGAAAGTGGAGGAAAAAATTTTAACTCTGAACGTTTTTGTTTAGGGCATGTTCCAGATTTTATCCAGGAAAAGATACCGGCCATGTTGGGTATTGATGGTCTCTGTGCTACTCCATCATTAGAAGGTTTTGAAGAAGGTGAATGTGAAACTCCTGGTGACTATAAGAGAAAGCCAAGACAAAGTGTAGGAGGTAAGGGGTAGTGGCAGTCCTGTTTTGTGCAGGTATAGCAATATGCTTTTATCTAAAATGTGTTTAAATATAATAAAGATTAAGCTGTGGTGTATATCTTTTGGGGGCTTACAGTATAGTTGGGAAGACATGACACATGCAGGTGAAAAGCAAAAATGACAATACAATTTAGTATTGAATGCTAAACCTTTACACAAACGTGAGAGGTGTTCAAAGGAAAAAGTTCCCTGGAGTCAAGGACTCCAAAGAAGAAGTCAAACTGAACGTTCTTGAAAAACGCGTAGAGACTAGGGGAATTGGGTAGAGGGTCAGAATATTTGTATCCTATTGTAGATAAGAAGGATGCTACGAAGAAAGATTTGTGTAGGGAAGTAATCTATCTGTGTCAGTAAACAGACTCACATGACTTGAGTGAGGGGTTCATTGTAAGCTGACATAAACTTAGATGCTGGAAAACCACAAATATTAATATGAATTATTGGTGACAGGTAAATGTTGAATTATAATTGATTATATATGTGCTTTGCATTTCAGATTTTGTTAGTGGAGCATTAAATAAACTTAAATCTAACAGAACACCCTCTATTACGCCTCAACAGGAAAGAACTGGTAGGTATTATATATTTTTTGTTTAAGTGAAAATTTCTGTATATTATTTAAAAAGTAATCATAACCTAACTTATTTTGGTTTAATCAAATCCAAGTATTATTTCCAGTGGAAATACTGTACTTTAATACTAAGTTGTGACATTACTAATTACATTGGATATAATGAACCCAAAATTGTAGTTAAGAATTTCTTTTAGTATCCAGTTATATCTTTAGTCTTCTAAATGATGCTTTTCTGTTGAATGTAAGTTGGATGCTATTGAATATGTGAAAATAGCTCCAATCTCATTTTTGTTTAGAACCAGAAGTTTATTATTTTATCTTCCAATTTTTTTTATCTTGGTTTGCTTGTGGCTGAAATTATTCGGCCCAATAACACAATAATAGACCATATGATCACTTGTTTTGTTTTTCAGATTGAAGAAAAGACTGAAGAAATTTAGTGGTTAATACTCATTTATGATGAAAAGCAGAACTAATAAGTAGATCAGTTTGTTTGAACTCCTTGATTATGATTTTTTTTCTTTTTTCTTTTTTTTTTTTTAACATTTATTTATTTTTGAGACAGAGAGAGACAGAGCATGAACAGGGGAGGGTCAGAGAGAGGGAGACACAGAATTGGAAACAGGCTCCAGGCTCCGAGCTGTCAGCACAGAGCCCGGCGCGGGGCTTGAACTCACAGACCGTGAGATCGTGACCTGAGCCGAAGTCGGCTGCTCAACCGACTGAGCCACCCAGGCGCCCCACCTTGATTATGATTTTATTCCATATGTTAATATTCTTTAATGTGGATTATATACGTCTTTCAGTCCGTTTGGTTTAAGTTACTATTGTTTGTTAATCTTGCCTCTTTGTGACTTTCCTCTTTTCTTTTCATTTTAAGTAATTGGATGGTGTTAATTTAGTTATAACATATATTTGATAATGTAAACGTATTCCCTCATTCCTTGGTTAGCTCTAAGTAATGGCTTTATAAGAAGAAATTATTAGAAGCTTTTGTATTTTATCAACTCTGTGGGAGAAACAACAAATGATTGTTTTTTTGTTTTTGTTTTTTCAGCTCAGCTACCCATATCACCCATGAATCTTACACCAAATGCTAAGCGTAAACTACCAATAGAGTCTTCTCATGGTTTCTCAAGTAAGAAAAGGAAGTCCATCAAGCACAATTTTAACTTGGAGTTGTTGCCAACTAATCTCTTCAACAATTCTACACCAGCATCAGGTAGCAAATAGAATTTGTATAATTGGGTTGTAAATGTTAACATGAATGCCTATTCTGGGCAAAGTGCTATTTCATATTAATGCCACCCCGTTTAGGAGCTTTGGCTTTATTCTGTTTATCAAATCTCTGAATTTTTATAAATAAAGTCTCTAACTTCTAAAATAGACACTGGTTCAGTATTATTATGTGTATGTGTATATGTTTTATGACCATGCTGTTTGAAAGTTAGGATAAATAACTCAGAGTGAGAGTTTGGGCTTCTGTGTATATATAGCACTGGCGCTCAGATACTAGGTGACGGGACATCCTGAATTCCACTTTAGTTACTTCTTGATCTATTGCTAGGGCTGTGTTGCTATCTTCTGTTGAGATTGCCAGTTTGATTTTCTCTAAAGGCAGAGTGGTGGGGTATTGGAGGAACCATTATGGTTGCTATTGAAGGGCGGGGGGGGTGGATTTTTTAGTTTTATACTCAAGTAGCTTTTATAAAAGCTTTAAAAACTTTGTTTATGCTGTTCCTTGTGGCATGGTTTCCAGATGGTTTACTGACCTGCCATTTGCTTCCAAATGACCTCTGAGTTTCTAATGTGGCCAACCAGAGCCTCCAGAGAACAACTGAGTTTTGCTAATTTGAGTATCAGATCTTTGTTAGTATGATCTTAGATTGAGTTGGCTCCTTCAAGTTGGCTCATAGTCAGTCTTACAAGTTAACCTTATGATCAGCCCAGAAAGAAACGAAATTCCAACTAAGCCCAGAGTCTTCCATCTCAGATTTGTCTCACATTTCGTCAAAATGTGAGTGATCTCTGATTCTTTCAGGTTTTCAATTTCAGTTCATGTTGAGAATTTTACTTTGACTTTGTTAGCTAAGTGATGAGATCTTCTTCCCAGAAACTTTTTGTTTACGTTATCCAAAACGTTCAGATTTTCCTTGTTTGTTTTATTAGAAAGTTGAACAGAATAGCAACTTGTTTTTTATGGTCCTTCACAGGTTCTCTATGGGTTTAAATATAATGATAAGAACTCTAAGGCTCTGTCTGTATTTCTTTGAGTATTCAGAAGTTAGAGGCTTAAGTTCTTTTAAACTAACTTACTGTTTTCTTAATTAAGGTTTTTTCTACTTTGGAGTAACTGTTCCCAAATGGCCAATGTGAGCTGTAATTCTGCCTGCCTCTGCTTATAAGCATTATAACATCTGCCCCAAGAAATGAACCTTTTGATTCCTTCTCTCCAAGCTCCCCAAACATAGTTTAAACCTGCTTGTGTTACTGGAAATTCAGTACGAGCCTGCTTAATCAGTGATTTTTTTTCATGGACGCGAGACACAAAAAGAACTTCCATGCTCTTCTGCCATCTTGGCTCCTCCCTTCAATGACTTTTTTTTAATAAAAAAATTAGTAAGTTCAATAACCTGTTATTTTAACGCCATTTTTCTTTGACCACACTTTCTCAGCCACAATTCAATAAATTCTGTCTGTAAAATTGAAAATAGATTGGCTTCTAATTTTGGATAATAACAGCTATGATGCTTTTTTTAATGTATAAAGGCAGCTATATTAATCTATAATCCATGAATTACCTATTTATAATTTTTTTCTTATATGTGTGATGACTTTGCATTATTCCCTATATTCTGGCTGTGCTTCCTTGTGACCACTGATACATTTTCAAGATTAGACTACACCTCTAGAATAAACTACCTATGTCACATTGGCTACATTACATTGGCCTCCAAAATTTTTGTCAGCCAAATGCACCCAAAAGTCTCTGTGATGGTTGTATTATTTTCCTTCTGTTTTTTGCAACTTAAAAAAACCATGCTGTCTCTGTTTGGGGACCTGTGTGAATTTTTCATCAATACAGGTGAGGAGTTCAGAGGGTTCATGTTTATTGAGTATATCCTGTACTTGATTCAAATATAATTCAAATGTATATAGAGCCTTGGTTCATAACTTTTTTCCCTTAATTTTTTATTATAGTTTCATGGTATAGTGTTAAATAACTTAATCAGAATGAGCTGTTGTAACCACTTATTGTTAGCATGGAACTCGTAGGCATGTTTTATAACTGGTTTTTGTTTGCCAGAAATATTGAACAGAGGCAGGTGGACAGCAGTTGTCTAGCCAGGTACATACTAGATACTCGGACTCTAAATTGTTTTCAGTAGCTCATTTTTGGTAATAGCAATAATTAACATTGTGTAACATAGGTACTGTGCTAGACATTTCATATATAAATATATAACAGTAGTTTTTATATTTACTGTAGAAATCCATTTTCAGAGCTATTTAGTAAGTGGTGGGACAAACTCAAGTCTGCCTGTCTGGAAAGCTTGCTCTTTCTCTAGTCTGCAATAGTGCTCACACCTCCCTTGTATTCTTAAACGAGTTTAAAATAAAACTCTGATATAAAAGTCATGTTTCATCTGACCCTTAATTGCCAACAAAAAATTAAAAGTAAGAAATTGATACTATTTTTTTTTTTTTTGAGTTGAGTTTATTTGGCTTCTGAAGTTTCTTACCAGAAATTATGTGATTTTGTTGTTGCTTAGGGTTGGATATTAAGACTTTAAACCTAATTGCTACTAATATTTTACACTTGGAAAAGAAAGTATGTGTGGTGTATTATATGTGGTTATTTTTATAGTTCACATTGATACAAGCCCCGAAGGGTCAGCTCAGAGTTCATTCTCTCCTGTAGCCATCAGTGGAAATGATTCGATCAGTACAAGTGTGCTAAGGCGAAGTAAGAGGATTGCAAGTAAAAAAATTTGCAGGTAATACATCCAGGACATTTTGTTTTCATGGATAAACATTTGGTGTATATAGTAAATAAAATGCTTTGTTTGTCTTTCTGCTGAGAAACATATTTGAATCATAATTTTTAAAAATTCTCTCTGCCTTTATTGTCTTATTAATCAGTGCCCTTTGTATATACTCCAGAGAAAGAGTCTTAATTTGAGTCCACTTGCTTGCTTAAAATCCTATTGTATGTTGATGTGTGTAATTTTTTAATTTCCTGCTAATTTAAAGGTAGTCTGTTCTAATGATTCTGGTTTATAAGTGACTAAATAACTCTTGAGATAAACAGGAGAGGCCTCTTTATACACAAATATAATGTGTTCCTATACTGTATTTCTTTTTTTTTTTTAAACGTTTGTTTATTTTTGATCGAGCACCAGTGGGGGTGGGGGGAGAGAGGGGTCAGAGGGTCCAAAGCAGGCTCTGGGCTGACAGCAGCGAGCCCAGTGTGGGACTTGAACTCAGGGACCGTGAGATTGTGACCTGACCCAAAGTCAGACACTCAACGGAGTGAGCCACCGAGATGCCCCCATACATGGTATCTCAAAGCTTAACTGATTTTAGAAAATTACTAACTGTTTAATTGCTGGCAATATAATTTGCTCTGGACTTGAAAATTTCATTTTGTGAGAATGCCTCCAGTTTTTATGCTGACATTTTTTAATGCCATTCTATTTTAGGGTGGAATCGGGAAAAGCAGGCTGCTTCTCTCCTAAGATCAGTCGTAAAGAAAAGGTCCGAAGATCTCTTCGTTTGAAATTTAGTCTGGGGAAAAGTAGCAAAGACCCAGTAAGTGTCTTTCACCATTTCACTGATGTTCATATTAGCATAAAGTGTAGATGTGGTGGTGAAAGACCCTCTACCCTGCCTCTCCAGCCACAGTTGCCTTCTCTACTCCCCTTTTATACCAGACTCTTACATGTGAATCAATACTGATTGTTTCCTCCTTTTCTGTTCTGCTTAAACTGATTCATTCCAGTGAGGCTTTTATCCCCAATACTCCATGCAACTGTTCTCAAGGTCATCCATGATTTCAGTGGTGCTCAAACCAGTGATCAGTCCTTGTTAGTCTTCACCTGGCTAGTTACGTGCTCCTCTTTTGCATATTTCCCTTCCTTGCTTCAGGGACACTTTACTCAATGATTTTCTTCCTTCTTCATGGGTTAGTTTTCTAATTCCTTTACATTAGAGTGTCCAAAGCTTTGTCCTTGGACTTCTCTTTTCTCTTTCTACTCAAAGTGTTCATTAGCTTTAAATGTCCTATATTTGCTTAAGACTTCCAAATGTATATCTCCAGACCAAAATGCTTTCCTGAACAACTTGACTGTTTAGCACCTGCCTACTTGACTTCTCTGCTTGGATGTCCATCCAGTAGACAACTCACCTGTAACCTGTCCCAGATAGAGCTCTCAAGATGCATTTCTTCACTGTTGCTCTTTCTCCAGTCCTCCCCCTCTCCACCAACCACACTCTTACCTGTAGTCTTCACCATCTCACATATGGCGACTCATCTGGCCACTTCGGCCAAAAACCACGTAGGCATTCTTGACTCCTCACATCCTGTGTAAACCAGTAGGGCATCTTGTGTATCTTCTGCTTTCAGAGTATATCAAGACCGACCAATTCTCACTGGCACTACATTTCCACCATTCTCTAAATTCTGTCATCTCCAGCTTGGATTACTGCAATAAGGCCCTACTAGTAGGTCTGCCTGCTTCTACCTTGCTGCAATACTAGAGCCAAAATTATTCTTTTAAAACCCAAGTGAAGGGGCGCCTGGGTGGCACAGTCGGTTAAGCGTCCGACTTCAGCCAGGTCACGATCTCGCGGTCCGTGAGTTCGAGCCCCGTGTCGGGCTCTGGGCTGATGGCTCAGAGCCTGGAGCCTGTTTCCGATTCTGTGTCTCCCTCTCTCTCTGACCCTCCCCCGTTCATGCTCTGTCTCTCTCTGTCCCAAAAATAAATAAAAAACGTTGAAAAAAAAAAATTAAAAAAAAAAAAAAAACCCAAGTGACGTCCTGTCACTCCTCTGCTCAGAATCCTCCAAAGACTCCTCATTTCACTCTGAAAAAAAGGTAAAATTCTTATGTTTACAAGTGCCTCTCCACGGGACTGGATCCAGCCTGCCTCTCTGAGCCCTCCTGACTTCAGCCTTGGAGACTGTCCTGGCCTTTCTTCTCTGTGGAATGTTCTTCTCCCTTTTATCCTCATGGCTCTTACCCTCTCACATTTTTCTTTACTCACCAGTCATCTTCCAGTCACTCCCGTTTAAAATGACAGCCCCACCTTTCGTCACTCCAGAGCCTTCTTACCCTGCTTTACTTTTTGCCATAGCACTTCTCACCTTGTGTATTGCGTAATATACAAAATAATTTACGGTTTTTCTTGTCCTGATCAAAATCACCCCATCTAAAATGTGAATTCTGTGAGGTGAAGATTTTGGTCTGTTTGTTTTGTTCACTCACTGTTGTGAACATGCCCTGGCTCAGAGTCCTCACAAAAGAAAGAAATTTTTTAGTTCATGAATATGTGAGGCTGTTTTTATTTTAGATCATAAAATATCAACTAAGAGCCAAGTCAAAAGCTTACAGTTTTCATCAACATGCATGCAAGTAAATTTGTGTTGGCTACAAATTGTTTTTCAATTTTTTATATATTTTTCAATCAGCTGTAGAGGATTTTGATAAATACAAAAAATTTACTTGGTCTTAATATTCTGAATTAACTAGGTTTATTTCTTAACTAAAACATTTTCAATTTTCTTTTCTTCACAGAATGGGTGTCCTGGTGTCGATAGATACGAAAATGTCGGTCGACGACTTGCAAATCAACAAAGTTTAAAAAATAGGATTGAATCTGTAAAAACAGGTCTCCTTTTTAGCCCAGATATTGATGAAAGATTAACAAAGAAAGGTACATTTACATGGTATTGTTAGTTTTACGCAAAAAAACCTACTTTCATTGTTTTTCTGAAAAATTTGTTCCAGCTTGAGACGTAATTGACATATAACCTTCAATTATTTTTATGGTAAAATATATTAAGTAATTTACTCTTCTAGAAATTGAAAATTCATGTTTGAAAAGTAAAAATGTTTGAATTGGGATTGTATGTTTGTTTGAACAATTGGAGGATGCTTATAAATACAAAAAGTTTGACGTTTTTATACTAAAAATTATTCTTTTAACACAAATCCTTAACTTACTGAAATTAAATGCTTAATACCTTTATATGCCATGTGTTTGAATAATATTTGAAATATGTTTCAAATATAAATGATTAAAAAGACTGAACTGCTTTATTTTAGGTTCAAAAAAGATCAGTAAGTCTGAGGAGAACTTATTAACCCCAGAGCGTCTAGATGGAACAAGTTACCGGATGTCTTGGACAGGACCTACTAATTCCGGTTTTCAAGAAATGGTGACAAATGAAGTTTCTCCAATCAAGGGAAATCTTGAGGTGGAAAGCTCTTCTTCGGAGCCTGATACTTCAGTTGAAAAGTTACCTGTTAGTTCATATGAACGCACCCTTTCTAATGTACAGGATAAGCATAACAGTGTAACTGGAAGCTCTCTTAGTGGGGATGAAAATCACTTGACCACAGAGACTCTGGTGAAAATTCAGAAAGCATTTTCCGAATCTGGAAGTAATCTTCATGTATTGATAAATCACAGCCAGTCATCAGTAACTAATGTGGGGAAAGTAAAACTAAATGAAACATCTTCTATAGAATACAGTCCAGAGAAAAATCTGTTTGAGACTAATGATTTGACTGTGATAGAATCAAATGAACATCAAACTGGTAAAGAAGAACATAGTTTTCCAGAACAAGACATCTCACTCCATCAAACTCAAAATTTGGATAGAGAAGCAACTGTAAAATGTTATTCAACTCATGTGAAGATTGAACATGAAGAAAGCATTTGTTCAAATATACCTAAAGACTATTCAGTTAAGCAAGAGTTGCCTAGTGATGAACACGTAAAGGAACAGCAGTCTCTGGGGGATAAAGTAAATCCTGAATTAAGGGAGAGCGAGAATATGATCGAAGAGAACTTGGCGAAGCATGCAGCTAGCACTTCTTCCTCAGAGCCCATCACGTGTAACATAACAAACTTGTCCAAATGCAGGCCTGTGAGAATTGTTAAGCAGCAGTCGCTGGTGGAAACCTGCAGCGCTACGGTTTCTGAAAGCTTACAAATGACAGAGCGTGGTAATGTGTCAGACCACATACAGTGGTTTAACAAGCTTTCTTTAAATGAACCAAATAGAACAAAGGCAAAGTCACCTCTTAAGTTTCAGCGTACACCTGTTCGTCAGTCTGTCAGAAGGATTAACTCCTTGTTGGAGTATAGCAGACAACCTGTACGGCACAAATTGGCGAGTCTTGGTGATGCTGCTTCTCCTCTGGTGAAGTCAGTGAGCTGTGACAGTGCTCTTTCCTCTGGTATGGAAAGTACATCAAAAGATTCCTTGATTTCATATACCAAATCAGGTCCTAAAGAACAGAAGTTTACGGGGTGTGGACAGTCCAATGTTGATACAGTTTTGAAATCAAGCATGGAGTTAACTTCTCAATCTTTCTCAAAGACCAACAGGCCCCCAGACTCCACGAATGCTTCTCTTGGGTCTACCAGAGTTTGTAAACAGGAAGTGGTGTCCAGAGGCCAAATTAAGGTTCCCTTGGATGACCTGACAAATCATGACATATTAAAATCTGTTGTAAATAATAATGCGGGCTTTTCTCCTGGGATAAATAGCAGAGTCCTTAGGAAACCATCAGAAAAAGAAAGGGTCTGGTATAAAGGTTCTCCAAAAAATCCCATCGGAAAAGCTCAGTTACTACCAACGAGTAAACCTGTAGACTTGTAATTGGTAGATGTTAATACTTGTTAATGTAAATAAAATTAGCTGTTGGTGATAGGACTTGCAGGATAATCTGCATGTTGGTTTGTTAGCTCAGGAAGGTTAAGTGATAGATTTTAATTTCAGTGCACAAGCAACTTGAATTCTTACACTTGTATAAATGACTTGTTTTTCTTAATTATGGCAGTATTTAAATTTTGTAATTGTATTGTGATCTCTTCAAGCAGAGGTTACATTTTACCTTTTGAAAGAAGTTGTTGGCTGGGTTTATGAGAAATTAATTCTTGAAAATTGTATGAATTTTATTTTTAAGTGTGATAGGAAGAGTGAACGAGTTGTGACTATTTCCTGTTATTCCTCCTGAGTCAGAGAAGGTTTCTACAAGAAATTTCTAACCCGTAAAGGGAAGAGATAAGCCCTACAGATCTTATTTCTTGAATTACGTTGATATTTATGGTTTATGCCAGAATCCCTAGAAATTAACTTGCTTCAATAGCAACTTAATCTTTTATTCCAATTTGGGGCAGAATAATTGGGTTTATATGGTCTGTAGATGTGTACAGCCGGTTCCCTTGGACGAAGAATAATGGCTAAAGCAGAATAAGGACTCAAGTGTGTTCTTAGAGAATGATGCTGCAGAAAGATTCGATGACTTTTGAGCCATACTATGTTTTATAGTTAATTTGCACAAATATATTGTAGCTGTTTTGTCCAATATAGGATTTAAAATTATTTAAGGAGGAATAATTAAGCTTGGAAATTTTTAATCAAAGTGATTTCTTACATTCACATACTTGATTTTATAATTTAAAATAGGTGATGTGCCTCTGTACATTTAACTTGGATTCTTAACTTTTGATTCTTATAAAAGCCTATGATGGTTTTGTCTGGTGTGTAAATGTTATTTATTTAGCATAGACATTAAAGGTAACCTTCTGGAAAATGACTTGTCTGAATCTCTAATGAAATTCAAAATACCTTTTAGAATTTGACCCAAATTGTTGAGCAAATCTATCTAAATTTGTATTTTAAGTTATTAGAAGTTAATAATCTTTAAGGAAAGAATAATAGCAACAATGGTGGATATTCTCTAGGTTTTAGAGGAAGGAATATTGCAGGAAGGAATATTGCACTGAAGATAGTTTTACAGGTCAGTTTTTAGAATGTCACATTCAGACGGTGGAGCAGAATAGAACAGCATTGCAAATCTACTCAGAGCAGCCAGAGTCATCAGATGTCTGCTTGACCACATTCTACTTGATAGCAGTACACCTGTTTTATTTCAAAGCGATTTCCTGTCTATTACCTAGGAATCAACGCTTTCTCACTACCAGTAAGAATTTGACTTCTATAAAGACTGAACGCCTGTAGATATGAATACCATGTTTATCTGACATCAAAACAGGTTTGTGATATAAACTGGATATTCATTTCGGCTGTTTATGATATTTCTGATAGTAAGTCGAGATAGGAAACATTCATAAACTTTGAAATAGATATTGTCTGATTCAGAACAATTTTTTAAATTTCACCTTCCCTCTGGATAAACTTTTAAAGATGTATTAATGTCATTTTATATCCATGGGTATGGGTGAAGTGTTGAATCGGAAGACTAATTCAGTAAGAAGCCATGGGAGATTAATGGTACAATTACCTGAACTGGTGGCTTTTCTGAGAGATTGATAAAGATATTTATTTTTTAAAAAACTACCCACATATTACTCCCATTTTTGTTAGGTGAAAGCCAGCAGTATAGGAAGACTATGAAAGTAAGAAACTTGTACAGTCAGGAAAGTTAAATTTTAGAATTAATCTCTCCACTTTATCTAAAATGGAGATGTTACTCATCTCATGAGGATATTTGGTCAAATGGTATGTGAACGTACTTAGTAAAGTTAGGTTAGGCCCTATGGACATAGGCGCCTGGGTGACGCAATAGGTTAACTGTCCAACTCTTGATATCAGCTCAGGTCACGATTTCACGGTTTGTGGAACTGAGCCCCAAGTCGGACTCTGGAGCTGTCATCACAGAGCTTGCTTGGGATTCTCTATCTTCCTCTCTCTCTGCCCCTCCCCCGGCTCACATGCTCACTCTCAAAATTTTTTTAAAAAGTTTGGACATAGGCAGTAACTTAAAGGATTATTTTCACTTTGTTATATACAAGTGTAAATAAAGATCTAATATGAATTTATTTATCATGAGCAACAATACAATTACACAATTACATAGGACTTAAATTAGCAGGCTGCTTGGCAACATTCTATAATCACTAAGAATTTAACATAGTCATTTGATCATCAAGTCCAGGATGTGTATAATTTAAAATCTCAAATTTCAAGGGCAACTGAGTGGCTCAGTTGGTTAAGCGTTCGACTTTGGCTCAGGTCATGATCTCGTGGTTTGTGAGTTCAGGCACTGCATCAGGCTCTGTGCTGACAGCTTAGAGCCTGGAGCCTGCTTCAGATTCTGTGTCTCACTCTCTCTGCCCCTGCCCCGATGGTATTCTGTCTCTCTCAAAAAATAAACATTAAAAAAATTTTTAAATAAAATACAAATTTCATATGAAACCTTTTGGTGTATCTTAAACGTCCATTCAACACAAAAGCAGTAAATTGTGATGGCTTCTCCATTTTTCCAAGCATAAAATGAAGATAACAGTAAAAATGTAAAAGTAAAATTCTGGATTGAAAACCTCAGTATGTGTAAATAAAAAATAGTAATCCCCAGCGTTTGTGTTTGAGCCTAAAACCAATAGACCATATTTGTCCTGTTGATTTAGCACTGAAGCAAAAAGCTGGAAACAAGCATCCATGAAAGAAAAGATCATAGGAAGGAGGCTTGGCTGTAAAACCTGAAAGGTCTTGTGTCTGTAGATGATAATGGATTTGCTGCATAGAGCTAAAGAGATCTGGGTGCTACCCTCATCCGGGTACTTATTCTCTGGCCTCCAGGGTTCTTTACTCATCCCCAGTTTTGAACGAAATGTGCCATACTCTATTGTATGGTCTCACATCTCAATTTTGAATTTGGACTGAATTCACATGTTCAAGGTTGCTCCACAAGTCTTTAACAAAATATTCCAGGGCTACCTGGACAAATTTCTGCAATGTGCAGGGAGTTCAATTTCTTAAGAAATCTTGATAGTCGGTGTGGAAGTTTAGAAATAACAGAACTAACATTCCCAGGTTTTCATGTGGTTTTGGTGTACCATTTTTAGCAGAAGTTTCTAATAAATACAGTTTTCTGTTCCGTGAAAGGGCTCCTGAAAGCACGCTTATGATGTACTCTATCATTAAAAGGTCTTAGGACCTCTTCATCTTTTGTCTCTTACCAGTATTGCCCCCTTCGTCTTCAAGCCGGAATACTTACAGAAAAAAATTAAAAAGCTGGGAAGTGGCAAAATTAAAGATGTGGTATTGGGGGCGAAGGACAAAAGTGGCGATCTGGCACACTGTTTAGAAAACTGCTTAAGAAGAGGGGAATTACGTCCACAGAGGGTCGGATAGATAAAGAGCCTCCAAGACACGTGCATGTGGAGTGCGAGGGTTGAACCCTGTGTGGCTCACGGCAGGAGGCACCAGCGTCTGGGTGGCGATCAAGGGCGACCGCGCGTGGCCGCCTCCACCTGCTGGAGGAGCGGTGGGGGCGGAGCTAAGATGCGGAGGGAGGTGACGCACGCGCAAGCCACATCACCAGGCTCCCTGCTCGACCCTCACCCAGGCCCAGACCGCGGCAGAATCCTCCGGCTGCCCCTCGGTGAGTCCTGCTTCGATGCCTGCTCGACCCCCTGAAGCCCACCTGAGACACGCGGGTTTTACGGGACTGGCAGGGGAGGGGGCGTCCTGCTGAAATCCTTGAGGTGGAGTCTGAGGGCAGACAAAGGCTGGGTGGGGATTAGGAGGTTCGGGTATAAACTGGAGGGGAAGAGTACCGAGGGAGGAAATTGTGTAGCTGATGAAATCAGGACGGTGTTGGCCCGGGGGTTAAATGAAACAAAGACATCCTGCATTCGCACCGGCCAGAGGAAGATGGAGATGGCAGGAGAGGTTGGTGTCTGCCTCCAGCCTTTTACGTCAGAATTGCAGGCTTTGCTGTCTCAGCTCTTTGGGAAACAAGGTTTTATATCTAGGGGTGGCTGGAAAAAGCCTTTCCTTTACAGAGACAGAAAATGGGGGTTATGAATATTGCAATTTCAAGGAAGCAAATGAATCCTTCAACTCCCCCCCCCCCCCCCCCCCCCCCAGAAGAGTGGTTAAAAAGGAGGGTTTGCAGAGCCATTGCTTGCAGCGTCCGTCTTAAACAGGTTCAGCTGCAGCAGCTGCAGAGGGAAGCTGCGTGAATCTTTGTTCCCTTGGTTTGCAGGCTTCTGCTTCCATCGAAGGCAACATTTAGGACAGGTTGACTCCCCAGATCAGTTTTCTCCCTCCCCTTCACCTGTTCTGTCTTCCTTCTCATCACCACCACTTCACCTGTTCTGTCTTCCTTCTCATCACCACCACTTCTTCAAGTTCTAACCTCTAGAGCCCTGAGGCCATATTGCCAACGTTATAGTCACAGTATAGGGGGCTCTGTGCCTGGCACTTTTTTGATGCTCCCAACAATCCTGTAAGACAGACGCTTTCCTCATGCCCGTTTTGCAGAGGAAGCTGAGGCATTCGCCCAGGATCACTCAGCTGGTATGTGGCTGAGTAAGCTTGCCTCTTCTCCCCTAGCAGACTGCAGGGCAGGCCTGAGCTGTGTGTATTTTCATCCCCCTCGGGTCTCAAATGTATTGGATTTTTGCTGAGCTGAGCTCTTCCCTTCCACCGCTCCTAACCTTTCTGTGCTTCTTTACCATTTGTATCTTCCTAATTCCTTTCTCAGAGCCTCTTTTTCCCCCCGAGACTGGGAAGACTCAAGATGTCACTCTCCCTCTCCCTGTCTCAAAATCGAAGCAAGTTCTTCTTGTTGCTTGCTTGGTTTTACTAAGAGAGGAGAGAGTGTTGGGGTTGGGGGTAATGAAGGCTTTGAGGGAACTGCAAGAAGAATAAAAAAAATAGTGAGAATGGCCATTCCTGTCTAGTCTTCCCAAGGATGTGCGTGCACAGGGAACTGGCTATCTTGGATTGTTTTGTTTCTTCAGTACTGTTTCAGAGCAGATGCTCTGCCTAGACTGGGCACTTAAGGCCAAAGCAACCCCCTAAGTATTTTTCATCGCAGCCCCAATTGGGTGGTTCTTGAATCACTTACTTGCATCATTGATCATCACAGATGCCGACTGTGGCCATTTGATACATGTTGGTCTTTTTTTTTGCAGGTTAACAATGGTTTCTCGGATGGTTTCTACCGTGCTATCTGGCCTATTATTTTGGCTGACACTTGGATGGACTCCCACATCTGCTTATAGCCCAAGGACCCCTGACCGGGTCTCAGAAACGGAAATCCAGAGGCTGCTCCATGGTGTTATGGAGCAGTTGGGCATTGCCAGGCCACGGGTAGAGTATCCAGCTCACCAGGCCATGAATCTTGTGGGCCCACAGAGCATCGAAGGTATTTACTGTTTCCAGTTTCCAGTAGCATTTAAAATAATTAATACATGCTGAAGAACCTTTACTTCCTCCCTCTGTTTTCCATTTCTTCTTTTTTATTTAAAAAAATTTTTTTTTTAATTTATTTATTTTGAGAGAGAGAGAGAGAGAGAGAGAGCACAGGCAGGGGAGGACAGAGAGAAGGAGAGACAGAATTCCAAGCAGGCTCCTCACCACCAGCGCAGAGCCTGATGCGGGGCTTGAACTCACAAACTGTGAGATCATGACCTGAGCCAAAGTTGGACACTCAACCGACTGAGCTACCCAGGTGCCCCCAGGTGCCTCCATTTTCTATTTCTTCTTATTCTACACAATATATACATACATACATCCACATCAGAATATAAGTTTCAAGAGAACAGGGACCTTATCTGTCTAAGTTCACAGCTGTAGCCTTAGCACTTAGCACAAAGTCTGGTACATTAACATTTGACTGAATAAGGGAGCATCTGGCATTATTCCTAAAGAAAGATTAGAACCCAGATCCCATATCTGTCTTCTCCCATACTGATCTTTAGGAATTTATGTCCCCACCTGGCTGGCTGCCTCTTTGAGTCATTGCCAACCAGTGTTTGTAAAAGATCCTTAAAATGCAGGACCTGTAGGATCTGACTTGATTCTTAGGGATGATGTCATATAAACCCAAAGGGAGCTGAAAGAGGTGCTGACATTGAGTTTATGTCAAACATTTTTTTGGAAAAAAATTTTTTTAAGTGTATTTATTTTGAGGGAGAGAGAGAGAGCACACTGTCAGTGCAGAGCCTGTCTTGGGATTCGATCTCATTAACTGTGAGATCATGACCAGAGTGGAGATCAAGAGTCGGACGCTTAACTGATTGAGCCACCCAGATGCCCTGAGATATTGTGAATTATAACAAATGTTAATCAGATTGTTTTAGTGTGGCAAGACCACTTCCCCCTAGAATGTTTTTTTCCAATTTTTGGCAATACTGTAATACTTTTATTAAAAAACAGTACTTTGTTATTTAATGCTTTATTTATAGAGAGAATCTGAATCTAGTTCTTAGGAGTTGGTGACAAGCAGGTGCCTTTATGTTCACGCCTTGCTTTGTATTCTGATTCTGAATGTTCTCTTTCTCCAGTGAGGTGTAGTCATAAAGCAGTAACATGGCTAATTTAACTACAAGGCAGCACTCCAAATATTTGCCCATGTGCGTGGGTTCCTAAGGAAAAATGTGAACTCTGAGTTTTGTCGGAATACACAACCAGTAAATGCTATTCTCTATGGCTTGATTATGCATAATTTTGACTAAGTCTGTGATTTCCTAAAAATGCTATCTGTCCTGGAAAACTGTAAGTACAATGGATATGGTTGACTTCATGGTTGATAGAGAAATGATTCCTGGGACGCCTGGGTGGCTCAGTCGGTTGAGGGTCATGATCTCATGGTTCGTGAGTTCGAGCCCCGCATTGGGCTCTGGGCTGACAGCTCAGAGCCTGGAGCCTGCTTCAGATTTTGTGTCTCTCTCTTCCTCTGCCCTTCCCTTGCTCACACTCTGTCTCTCTCTCAAAAATAAATAAACATTAAAGAAAAATTTAAAAAAAGAAATGGTTCTCACATCTGTCTTGTTACCCATAGTTGTCAGCCCCTAAGTAAAACTAACTCTGTGGGATTGTTGTCTGTTTAGGTTGGCATTGGATTTCAGAAATGGATTAACCAATAATTTGAATTAGCAAGCATGCAAACTTAGCATAGGGCTTGGATCAGAGCAAATCAGGGCTTCTTGCCACTCCTTTTGGGATCAATCTAAACCCTTCCCACCACCTGCACCTGTCGTTTCTAGCCCACCTATCCATTTCAGACCAGCTTTCTTGAGACCGTAAATATCTGCCCTTCTAGTGCAGGAAGTGCTTGATTAGTCACCCAACTGTTGTCATGGAGAAAGCTCTCCAAGTTTCCATTAATACCTGAGGCCTGATCATCTGTGTGGAAGAGAAACAGCAGCTCCCTGGCAATCAAAAGCTTCTGTTTATCCAGAGCCTCATCTTCTTCGCTCAGTATGCAGTTATTTAGCACCCACTCCAAGGCAGCCAGTGTGCAGGGCGGGGGCAGCTGTGCCCTAAAAGATGCTCAGGCTAGGGCTGGGAGAGGGAGAGAGGTTACTACAGTGCACCATGGCAACTTTTTTGGTAGATGTACAGACAAGCTGCTGTCATGGAAGCAAAGAATAGGAGTAATTTATTCTGCTTGGGAGTAGATAGGGGTGGCTATAAGAAAATGCTCCTGGGGGCGCCTGGATGGCTCAGTCGGTTAAGCGTCCGACTTCAGCCAGGTCACGATCTCGCGGTCCGTGAGTTCGAGCCCCGCGTCAGGCTCTGGGCTGACGGCTCAGAGCCTGGAGCCTGTTTCCGATTGTGTGTCTCCCTCTCTCTCTGCCCCTCCCCCGTTCATGCTCTGTCTCTCTCTGTCCCAAAAATAAATAAACGTTGAAAAAAAAAAAAAAAAAAA